CCAGGAAGTCACGTTACCAGAGTCAGAGTAATAGTGAACACGTTTGACAGTGATTGTCGTCGCCTCATATTCAGCGTCGACGAATAGGGGAATCCCCAGTCATAATGTATTGCATGCGTGGCGGTCTTACTTCAAATCCATAAACAAAGAGATAATTACAGAACTCGATACTAGATGGCGCTGTTTTTGTTTGAAGAAAGTTTGCGGGCTAAAATACATAGAATTTCATCAATGACTTCCACAAAGAACAACATTTCTGTTTTTTCTAAGTCCGTATCTCTTCCGTATATTTCATAAGATATAAGCTTGGGCTACATTGTTATGCAACGTGATTTTGTCGCTGTCTTGCTAGCAGGGTTGACAGATATACGATTTAAATCGTACTCATACTATTATTTGTATATTTTTTAATGTACGATCGTAAAGATTATGATCGTAATTCGCACAAAAACATACGACTTTTTGGTTACCTGGCAACATTTTTATTATGAAACGAACATGCTCACATCATCAGTCACATGCAACAATTTATTGGGGATTTCCCCTTCACATCTGGCAGTCCTGCTTGCTAGAATATAGGTAAGTCAGCCACAGTTACTGACGATCGATATTTAAAGGGTATTGTTTTTGTGCTAAATATTTCATAAAAACGTTATTTAATACTTTGTGGATTATTAATTTAGTTGATAATCACTGGAAGTAAAATGGATGCTAATTTGAGAGATCAAGATCTTCGTATAAAACAGTTAATAAAAGAAAATCTACGTAAGTACTCTTTTTATACCTAGGTAGGTAAGGTATAATAAACACAAAAGGTACTTAGATCGCGTGTGTTCGAAGCATTTATTCTAATAAATTTAATTTAAAATTGTAGAAAGAAAAAAATGTCTGCCAAGCCGTAGCCGAAGCCGATCTCCAAATATATTTGGCGATAGTGAGACCCAGTGTCCAGATGATTTACCCAGCGTCGTCGCAACAAAGAAAAAAACGAGGATAAAGTAAAAGAAAATTTACTGAAAGAAGAAACAAACTGTTCTAAATGCTTAATTTATGGAGAAGAGGATAAAAGAAATGAGTATTTCGGACTGTTAGTGGCTCAAGAATTTAAATATATACGGCCATGTGTGCGAACGAGGTGTTATGAAGAAATTTTAAAGTATCTACGGGAAGCAAAAGGCCAACATGTTGATCAACTGCAACATGAAAACACTGAAAATTAATTACTTTCATTTTATTATATATAGATTTTTAAAATTTCCTGAAATATTATTAGTTAACGTTTTATTTAATATTGTAGAATTGATCAATACAATTTATAAAAATAATTTATTGGTATTACTTACATATTTTCAAAAAAATACGTAAAAACCTATTTTTTTGGGTGATTATGGGAGTTTATGGGTGTTTATTGGGTTTTTACCAAAGCACCGGGTTTAAACCCGGTGCTTTGCCCATCTGTACCACCAACAAATGCATTCCCAAAGAGGGTTGACGTCAGGCAGGTGGCCGGTTGTAAAACTAAAAACCAAGTCTTTTTGTAATATGGATAAAATCATATTACGCCGACACCAAATGGTTGGGATAAGGGTAAGATGATGATGATGATTAGAAATGCTTAAGAAGGTAAGTTTGGATGAATGGATGTATGGGTAAATGTTTGTCATTTTTTTAAGCAAAAACTACTAAAAGAATTCTAAAATAAATTGGTTTACAGGTATATTATATTTTACTTAGGACATAGATTACTCTACGCAGTGATTCAAGTGGGCAAGACCGCGGAATACAGTTAGTGAAAAATATTTTTACAAAAACAAGCTCTTTTATCAGCAAACAATTTTTTTCTTATAGCCACCTAACGAATATATACAACTAAATAAAAGCTTTGAGAGTGTTTTACTTATTTTACCTAAATTTTTTTTAACTGTTTATCTAATAATACTAATATGTAATAATTGGGGGGAAAGGGATTGTTAGTAATGGAGAATAAAAATCCCATTGCTAGCAATATACCCAGCCAGATCGACCTCCTCGCGGTTCCCCCTGGAAACGAAACTATCATGGTTAATTCCTGATGAATTCATCATGATGGAGTAACTGGCCTGTTTTTATTCTCATCGATCACCATTCACTGGTGCTCCGCTAGCGTATCCCGTTAGCGCAGACGGGGTTACCATTCCATTTTCATCCATCAAAAAAAAAAATGTAATAATTAAAGATTGTGTTCCATAAAAAAACCGACTTCAGTTGTTACAAAACTAGTTATTTTGAATTAAAAACTAAATCATTGAATCGAAATTGCTAAAATTTCTATAAGACTAATCTGTAAGTATATCCTTACAAAAAAAAATTGTTCAGAACTGACGAAGTTGATTGATAACAAACAAAAAAATACAACCGAATTGAGATCCTTTTTCTTTCTGAAGTCGGTTAAAAATTAGTTACTAAAAATAAAGGGTAAAAGGTAGCAATTTCTGATGCAATCTGAAGTATAACTTCTGATCAGAGTCGAGGCTTTAAACTTGAAATCATAATAAAGACTTAGTTTTACAAATGATACTACATCCGTTTTTTTTTTTATAACTTGTGTGATCGCTTTAGTCTTATTCTTAATACATGATGCAATGTCATTTGGCCTTACGCAATTGAAATGACAAATTACTGCGCTCATTCAAAAAATATGCTTACCACAGTTATAGGTAATCATTTTTAGGTCACACTGGTAAAGTGTTGTAACTTCATTAAAGCATTTAATAATACTAATTGGTACCTATATTAAAATGCATACGTTAATACTATTTGGTATTATAAGTTAATAGATAATAGATATTTATTTTCAACTTTATTTTTATTATATAAATAAGGTTGAAAATAAATCTAATATATAAAATTCTCGTGTCACGGTGTTTGTTACCAAACTCCTCCGAAACGGCTTTACCGATTTTAATTAAATTTTGTGTGCATACTAGGTAGGTCTAAGAATCGGCCAACATCTATTTTTTATACCCCTCAATAATGAGGGTGACCCACCCCAAATTTTTTTTTTATTTCTTTGACATTTTTTTTTATTTTTATTTTATTATAATTTAGCATTGAAAAATACATACACCTACACATTTATAGTGTTAGCTATTATTTTTTATTGGACTAAAAGAAATAGCTAATAACTCCAAATAATGTATATGGCAAAATAACGTTTGCTGGGTCAGCTAGTATCTATATATAATATAGGTAAAAGTTGTATTTTATTTCATACATCTATTATTGAGTAAATCGAAATTGGTGACTTTCATTTTCAACAGATTTAAAAAAAGAGGATCTCAATACGGTTGTATTTTTTTATGTCTGTTAGCTCATAACTCCGTCAGTTCTAGATCGATTTAGAAAATTCGTTTTTTTTTTAACTGAAAGGATATCCTTACTTGGTCCCATTGAAATGTTTATCAAAATCGATTTAGTAGTTTAGTTTTTATATCAAAATAACTGGTTTCGTCACGACTGAAGTTGATTTTTTTATGAAAATTACAAAAAAGACATAGAATAAGAGTGTCTTGATCACATTTACTAACATAAGTTAAGTAAATTATAATTCAAAATGGACCTTATGTTGTATGAATAAATATTATTATATTCCTTGGTCGAAACTTTGTATATATTTTATATATACAAATACACTACATGTATTATATATTGTATATATATACATACAAATACATGTATATATTTTATATATAGAAACACATTTGAAATAAACTGAATTTTGGAACGGCGTGCCACGTTATCGTCATTCAATCTATACCCCAGTGGGAGACAAACGTGACGGATATGTATGTATTTTGACAATGAAGTCGACGGCGCGGTGAACGTTACAATTATAAGGAATGACTATTCAAAAATGTTTATAATTAAGTTAGCTTGAATGAAAGTTTAGCCGTGTAATACCGGCATAGAATAGACCACCCCTTCCTAAGCCGTGGGTGTCGTAAGAGCCGATTAAGGAAGGACGAGGGATAGCAGTAGCGTACCTTTTAAAACATCTCTAAAGCCTGACTGCGGTTGCCAATCCGTCTACTAAGCGCGGCAACCACTGGCAAAACCCCTAAGGGGAGGCTTATGTTCAGCAGTGGACAGTTAAAGGCTGATATGACGATGATGACGAATGAAAATTATTTATATTTATCGTTACATTTCAGCGATTTCTAAAAAGAAGAGGTTCCCAATTTGACTGCTTTTTGTAGGTGTATCGATATAATAGCCCTTTTACAAACCCGTAATTTACTCGTAGTAAATTACAGCGTAATAGCGAACTGCAAAGCTGTTCCCACGCAACTACAATTATTCAATAATATCAGACTACTAGTGAAAAGAAGGTTCTGTAAAGTATAATTTACTATCACCATACAATTTTTTATTGTTAATATACACGCGTGTTAGTTCGTGTATAAGAGACCCAAGGGATTCAACACTAGGCTATCACTTTTTGCCCCGTAAGTGACCCAACACGAAGGTTTATATATTTATTTAAACTCTAAGAAGGTAAGATTTAAATTTTCAAATTTCAATATTCACGTGACAAAGATCTTTTAATCGGTATTCGCTGAGGAATGATAGATAAGGATGAAACAGATCAGTTTGTCCATCGTGACATAATTTTTACTTACCTCTTGGTTTCTCAACGGCTCAATCAATATATTCCGAGTACATGGAAGACATCATGAGTAAAGATTAGTACATCATCATTTCACCCATTATTCGTCCACGCTGGACTTAAGCCTCCCCCACAGACTGCCATAAAGATTGGTCCTGAGCCACCTGCATCCACTGACTCACTGCAACAACTTACGATCAATGGATGGGCAGCAGCGTCCTTAAAATATCTCAAAAGACCTAACTGCGGTTACCAACCCGCCAGCTAAGCGTGACAACTACTGGTAAAACCCTCCAATGGTAAACACCGTAAACAAATATTAGTACATACATATCTATAAAAATAAACTGCCTACCTGATAGCTCCCAATAAGGTATGCCGCATTAAGTCTGAGTGTCTCATTGTCACTTGTATAGAACACAATCTTTTTCTTCGGGTTCTTGTCCAACTCCTCATTGAGTTTCTTGCAGAACTGGTACAGATGGCACAGGTGATAGGGTCCAAAGTCGAAATAGAAGTTCTCGTAGACAATGTCATCCTCTATGTGGAAGTACTTGCTGTTCCTTGTGGGCTTTGGTTTGTATCCGGATTTTAAAGTGGCGAAGTACAGTCTATCTGGAAAACGTATAAAACCTTTAGTAGCCTTGGGCTTGTCCGTTACAGTTGAATGAAGGTCGAATGAAGCTTGTAGCAGTGTAAGGCAGCGTAGTCGATTGCCCATGGATTTTATTTGTTTATTAATACTTTTGCACATATTAAAATATGTCTACAGGGCGGACTTAATGCCTGATGGCATTTTCTAACAGTCAACCGTTACGCTAAACAGGCAGTGCATTGGTTTAACAAAATGAAAAAAATTTTGATACATAATAACATTAATACACTTACAAAAATTAAATGTACATAAATTACATACGATACATATATAAATAACTATGAATAATACATATTAATATAATAAACATATAAGTTATGGCTAATCACATAATAGTAGATTGAAGCTCTTCATTGTTGTGAAAATAATGATCACGAAAGGTCTTTTTGTAAGAAAATTTTATGTGTATTTATATTCTCCTTTCCTTTTAAATTTTAGTAGAAGAGTGGAAAGGAAATACACACCATTTAGACCTTTTATTGAGCATTAAGAGTTAATAAGTTTTGTTATGTAGACTCGAGTATGCATAAATATATGTAAATACAAGTATAGGTAATAATAAATACATAGGGGGAAAAGGATTGTTAGCAATGGAGTTTGACAGCCCCATTGCTAGCAATATACCTTATTAGGTCGACCTCCACGTGGTTCCCCCTGGAAACCATCGTGAACAATTCTTGTTGAATTCGTCACGACGGGCTAACTGACTTACTTCATCCTCACCTATTATTCTTCACTGGTGCCCCGCCGGTGTATACCGATAGCGCGGGTGCGGTTACCATTCCATTATCATCCATTTAAAAAAAAAAATAATAAATACAAATTCCATGTGAAAACATGCTAGTGGGTAAAATTTATTTTTCTAGTGATATTTTTAATACCATAGAGAATGACACATAAGCAAAAAGCCAACTTGATGGAAAGTGGTGTTATGCTTTCAACTCTCAGCCAAATTTCATCAAAACATTTAAAATATCTATCTAGAAATATATAATACAACTTTCACTTTTAAAATATTAATTAAAGTTTAGATACGACATTAACATTTAGTTACGGCTTAAATTAAAATTAATTAATTTAAATTTTTAATTAACTAAACTTGTCAACTTTTAACAGACAAAAAAGACACCAAAATAAGTGTTAGCGATGTAAATTTTCAAATATCTAGCTCCATTTGTGTCAGTCGTTGTTCATCTTACCTAAACAAATAACAAACTAGTTATATATGACCAATTTATACCTATATTTCAATAATTTATTAGCATTTGCTTAGTCATAAAGAATAGTGTTTTATTTAAGACCTACATGCGAAGATCGTATGGCGTCCACACACATTCCCAAAGTTGACAGATAGCGATAGTTTATCTCGTACAGACATTTGTCTCTGTAATTCGTATAATATGACAAATCGCCCTATAACTTTACCCTTTATACTGAAACGATGTTACTGAGAACTTAGAACAAATATATAATAAAACAACAAATAGGTACATATATAACAGACTAGCTTTCAGTCGCGATTTCGTCCGCGTGACACAAGCCTGACTGCGCGCCTCGGCCCGCTGAGCGCGAGCTGTAGGCGCTTGCTCGCGTCACAGTTGGTCATGACTAAGGATCACGAAATGATTCCGAAAGTAGTCAAGCTTCTTCAATCTATTTACACGTAAGTTAAACCAGTAGTTATTATATTAAAATATATTTGTATGTATGTTTTTGAATAGCAATCTTTTCTTTTTACAACACAGGGGGCAAACGAGCATGCGGCTCGACTGGTGGTAAGTGACTACCGCCGCCCATGATCAGCCACAACACTAAAGGCATTGCAGGTGTGCTACAGGCCTTGTAAAAAGGAATATGCTCTTTTCTTGAAGGTTTTGTTGTCGTATCTCACAATGAGATTCTATGAAACATCTCGTAAAATTACTAGATAAAAAATAATTTCTTTTATTATAACAAAATTTATTTGGTCACGATACAAGAAGCTTCCTTGTACGGAGAAAAATCTATTTGTAAAATATAAAATCTAGGCTATTGTTAGATTCGTCTTAATATACTACAAGAACTATGGACTATATGAAGACAGTATGAAATAAACATTATTAGTATTTCGGCCGTTAACTGTCCCCTGCTGAACATAAGCCTTCCCCATAAGGGGAATTTTGCCAGTAGTTGCCACGCTTGGCAGGTGGGTTGCCAACCGCAGTTAGGCTTTTAGCGATGTTTTAAGAGGAACGCTGCTGCCTATCCCTCGCCCTTTCTTAATCGCCTCTTACGACACCCACGGGAAAGGAAAGGGCGGCTCATTCTATGCCAGGACACACTTGGCGAATAAACATGGCGGTCTAAAAACGGCGTATAAAACTTGCAAAATTTATAATTAGTAATTCAGTCGAGTTTTCAGTAGTCGTCGATACTGGTAACACATATTTTTACACATTAATCATTATTTATATGTCCAAGGCGTGTTCACATTGTGCTTTACAAAGTCGTAGTACAAACGACCTTGTCACTACTAATCGCTCCTATGAGACCGATGTATAACAGCGTATTCCTATTGTGACGTATTCTGTGTTTATTGGAACGTGACATAAAATAAAACTTGAGCGCAACTAAAACCTAGTCATAGTATTAATAGCGGCTTCATCGTAAAACGCGACAGTGGTATATTACTTTGTAGTTCCTATAGGGGCGCTTTATATTTACCGTAGCAGTATGGTACGATTTTACTATCACGAAATATGAGATCAAATTATATGGAACTACGACCCGCCCCGGACACGCACGGGTGCAAGTTATTACAAAACGTTGAATTTAATTAGGATCTTATCTTCTCATCTTATCATATTAATGTATGTGAATGTGAATTTTTGTAAGGAAAGATGGATAGATTACCAGAGAGAGACTTTGTACAAAAGTCGATTGCTTAGGTACCTCTGTCCCATTCGTGTTTCTACCGTGAAGCAGTTGTTTGCATGGCTGTGTTTCGGTTTGAAGGGTGGGATATGGCGTGAATTTACTGGGTAGAGAGGAATAACATCTGAGTCCTCAAGAATGGCAACGCATGGGGGTTATCATGGGCAAAACAGTATACAAATGCATGCACATATATATTCATCCCAATATAGATGCATCTATCTATCATTCACGCAAAAAATATTAAACGTATGTATATGAAATTTGGTTCATATACAATACCAGAGGGTACAAAAGTCGTTTGCTTGGACACTTGCCTCATTCGTGTTTTTACTGTGAAGCAGTTGTATTTGCATGGTTGTGTTTCGGTTTGAAGGGTGGGATATGGCAGTGAATTTACAGGGCACAGAGAAATAACACCTTAGTCCTCAATGGTAACGGTATAGTCCAAAATGGTAACGCATGGAGGTATCATGGGGGAAACAGTATACTCTGTTATGTCAATGGCATTGTTGATGTCTATAGGCGACAGTTACCACTTTCCATCATAAGTTAATCTAATTGTCTATTAGTAGGTAAATCATCATATAGTTGCATAAAAAAAGTATGTCTACGACATTGTAAACTTAAAAGCTTCGTACATTTTTCTTTCCTATTATTATTATCGTGACGGTAAATTTGTATGATATCGTAAATTATGAAAGCTTCTAGATGCTTAGGCATTTTTACAGGATCAATAAATATGTGTCTTCTATTTTAAACGGCGTTGATATGCCACTGTGTTGACTGGAAATCTCTTTTAGAGATAAGTTCGCCTTTGCTTACTTTGTTAGTAATTTGTTATTTTTAGATTATTATTACACTACACAGATGTTAATACACGTGTTACTTTTTATTGATTCTTCTGTATTTACGTGTTTTCTTTCTTTTGACAAGTTGTTACCGTAACCTATGAACGGTACGCTACGAAGGGGGGAAGGGATTGTTGGCAATGGGGTCTGACGTATTGCTAGCAATATACCCTGTCAGGTCGACCTCCAATCGGTACCCCCTGGAAACCATCGTAGTTAATTCTAGTAGAAGTCGTCACGATGGACTAACTGACCTGTTCTCATTGTCACCTATCATCCCTCACTGGTGCCCCACCAGCGTGTATCGATGGCGTAGGCGGAGTTACCATTCCATTATCACCCATTAAAAAAAAGTACGCTACGAAGGAACCGTAAGCTGTAATCTCTGGGGATTTTCCAAGAGACAATTATTTGGGATTCTTAGCTAGCAAGCATCGGTAGGGAATTTTTCCACAACTTGAGCGTTCAAGGGAGGAAGTGTATACAAAACTGCCCCGTATGCCCCATTCAAGTTCAAAGGAATGACACTGGATTACCTGTCGGTTTCGCTTCTTTTGGGTCATTTTATGGAATTCTACTTTGTACATACAACTTGCGGATTTGTACATACAGCTATCGTTATTCTTTTTTTTGTCATTTTTATAGACATACATAAAAAAATTTTAGTTGCGTAATAATTTTTCTAACTGTATTCCTATTCTAAGCAATTTGTTTTTATAATTTTTTTTTCCTAAATATAATAAACTCGATAACAATAGCAATTATAGGCCTATACGATTGCAACACTAGTTTGTTTCTGTAAAGAACATTTTTAATACCAATTATAATAGTGGAAATTTCAAATCCCCAAACGATAAGATTACTTTTGAATTGGAAATTATATTTCTGTAGACGCATAATATATACAGTTTAATGGAGACATTTAGGCTGAAATAGCTTATTATTAACATAACAACATAAGTTTAAAGTACGTATGTTATTTGCGTGAAACAACGAAATTCATGAATAATAAAAGGGTGGAAGTTTTGTAGGGTTGAAACATTTGAAACGGTTGGACTACCAGCGTTCACCTATACATTGGTTAAAAGTTAGAGATTAATTTTTTTTTTATACAACTGAGATTGGCAAACAAGCTGACGGCCCATCTGATGGAAAGTGGTAACCGTCGCCTATAGACATGAACAGTACCATGGACA